CAGAATGAAGAAGAATGACGGATAAGAAGAGAGGATACCTGGCCGGCGATGACTCTCCGCCGCGGACAGAGGTGTGAAGACAAACTGCGGCGATCGGGGGAAAACGCCGGCGAGGTTTGTGGGTCCTAAATGGGTAAGGGATGAAATTTGATTAACAATCCTAAGATTGTTGCGTCTTGGGTTGGCCAAACTCGAGTTGGGCCAGATCTATAGCCCAGGCCCATGATTGAGACAATTTTTATAGATAAATTATAAGGGGATATACCAAATTAGATTTATTTAGTAAAAAATACACACTAAAAAATGTAAGGCTATTAAGTCCTTAATTTTAAAACTTATTTGTATCTAAGTACACAATTTGAATTTGCCTAATTTTTTTGTGACATTTTTGTCCTCCATTGATCCATGTGTATGTTCTTTAGAAAGTGGTGCATTAAATATCTTCTAATTTTATGAGAGAATTTTAGTATTTAATGAACATTGATTCATGTGTACTTGTTAATATGTATATATATATATATATATATACACGTGTAAAGTGTAACATTTTTGAAAGTGTAAAGTGTAAAATATTATTTCATGTCTCACATTTCTTAATGGAAAGTGTAAAGTGTTATAGGGTATTATTGAAAGTAACAATAATAGTGTACCAATAACAATGTAACAAGCTATTTACACAAGGTAAGGGGAGACATTACCTAAAGTGTTACACAAACAGAATATACATGTCTCATCTTACACTAACAGAATATATATATATATATATATTAACAAATACACATGAATCAATGTGCATTATATATTAAAGTTCTCTCATAAAACTATAAGATATTTAATGCACCACTTTCTCTAAAATGAGTATTTATGTTTTTGTATCTAATTAGTGTATTTTTTTTTAAAATATTTTTTAATATATTTTTGTCCAAATAAGTCTAATTAGGTGTATCGATTTTCAAAAATTCCATTTTTTATTTGGTAAATTGGGTGTCGTATCTTTTTTAGGTCTTATTTGGATATAAATTCTCTGTTTTAATATAAAAGCATTTAAATCCAAAATAAGTATCAAAAATTGTAAGGAAGTACACTTTTCAATTTTTTTTTATATTACCTAATTATCCTTGCATTGATTCATGTGTAATTTATATAGAAAATTTTGAAAAGATTCCTTATAGTGTTATTATAATATATAAAAAAGTTTGAATTTTAAAATACTTATATCAATTCATTTGGTATTATCCTTTTAAACAAAAAAATTTATTCTTTAATATTTCAGTTTTCTTTGGAAAAAAAAATGTTTTACATAGTATACAGTAATTTGTATTTGTTTTGGTGTAGCGAAATTTTGGCTTCTTATTTACCATTTCAAAGTTTCGTTTTCTCTTCTAACTCAACGAAAAATTGTTCAATTGGACACATTGGTTTCGCCTTCTCTCTGTCTTTTTTTATGAATCGAATTCTTTTTGAAAATAATATAATAACATAAAAATCAATGTGATAAGGTACTCAAAAATGATGTAACAACAGATTAAACAATATGATAAGTTACTCAAAAATAATGTAATAACATAAAAAATAATGTGACAATATATTAAAAAAATGTGGCTAGATAGTTTTAATGTAAGAACTATATATATATATATATATATATATAGAGAGAGAGAGAGAGAGAGAGAGTTCTTATCTTAGAAAAATTCTAAAATTAAGGAATTTTGAGAGAAATAGTTCTAATATAAGAAACCCCTAAAATTTATGAGTTTTAGAGAGAAATAATCTTAATTTGGAAAATATTTTAAATTAAGAAATTTAAAATTTATTTAATTTTTGTATTTAGTTACCTGTGTGTGTGTGTGTGTGTGTGGCTTCCATGTTTTGAGGGATATTAATCATGATTTTGCTGGCCTTGATTCAAGAATCATGAAAGATTGATGCTTAGAAAGGTATTTGGTTTTTATGAAGATTAGAAGGGTACTTCAGACTTTATGGAAAAAAGAAGGCTTTTACTCCAAAAAATTTTGAAAGAGACATTCCTTTCAAATAAGAGTTAAAAAATGTATCGATTTCCAAAGTTCCTTTTTTTATTTTTTTGGATATTATCCCACGCCAAGATCTATTACTTGAGATCATGGTCAGGGTAACAATGATATCATGTCATCATTAGCATGCGATCTTACTAATTAATTACAAAATACTATGTGAACTTAGTGGAATTCACTAGTTTAATTACTACTCGTAGTCACCAGATACAACAATTTTTATGTTGGAATAGTAGGGTCATAGTATTTTATTATTGGACGGTGACAAACATCACTCACCACATGTCAGTAATAATATGACATCACCATAACAAATACAATAATTTTAATGTTAGAATAGCGGCGGTCATGGCGTTTTATTATTGGACGGTGATAGTCTACCACTCACCACATATCAGTGAAGATAAGGTATCACCTTTACACTAAAAATTTACTTGTGTTGAATCCAGATTTTTTGTAAATTCAATATTTCTAGTTTTATCTATATAATTAAAGACTGATAATACACAAAGTTGATTATGCACAATCAAATTAGTCAAGTGTGTGGTGTGGAGCAATTAATGAAGTGATTAATAATAAGAAACAAAGATTGATTGGCTGGGTTTGAGTGAGCTAATAACTAAAGGCGGCAACGGTGGCCAGAGAATTCTAATAATCAGAGAATACAAGATAGTAAGAGAGAGCAAGGGTACTCCCAATGTGAGATGTGTGAGATTTGTCTCCATGTGTAAGGAAATTTACAATTTATAGGTGCAAAGTCCTAATTGAGGCAGTGATGTGAGGGTTAAGATACTAACTTATCAAAGAGGCTAGTTACAATTACGGATAGATACCATTTTAGAGTAATGACTATCTCAATGATTGTTCTCCCACGTGTATTGATTCTTCCTAGATTCTTGGGTTTTAGATTGGATTGAACCCATAAGCTAAGTTTGGCATATTTTTTGATGATTTGAACTCAACCCATAAACTAGGCCCAAACATAATTGGATCTAGGCTTGTCAAAGATTAGGTATTTCTATCCAACTTTTATGCAGTGAAGCCATAGAAAACCATTTGTTCATTCTTAAAAATTGTCCTTATACTATAACTAACATTGCACCACTTGCGTTGCACGAGAATAATTTTTTTTTTAAAAGTTAATAAATAAATATATTTGTGTATTTGAATTAAACATTTTCTCAAATTTACAAAACTTATATTTTCATCTCTCATGGTCCACTATAAAATTTTAGTGGGATTTATATTGTAGATATCTTTCACACCCCTAGTTAATTTCTCCATCTCCTCTTGGAACCTTTCCATAACATCATTTGGTAAGCAAATTGGCACCACAATCCCATCCTCTCCTTTGCTATTTCTTGATTTTGTTAAAAATGATATTTGAAAATGTGACCCCCACAATACTCCCATCATACATTGGCTTCCCCCACCCAAAATTTGACCTCTCCAAACCCAACTCTTGATACATCAGAAACCATGAAGTTCCAAGAGGTTGAATAATTCAATGGGGGGTTGTCCCTTTATCACCATAAGATCTGCCACTGATTTTACATACTCCTTGGTTACTTGAGCCTTTGCTTCCTTCATTAACCCCACTGCATACCCTAATGGGTTTTTGCAAAACTTTCCGCCTTCCGACACTACCGTCGGGTGATGACGGCATTGCCGTAATACCCAGAAGGAAAATTCATGTAATTCTTGCCACGAACGTTGATCATGCATGCAATACGAATAGTGTCATCTGGATCTACCTGCAGTGTCGACTCAATCACTAAGCAAGTTAGACAATTATTTAGGGCCCCCACTTGAAAAGGGGGCAACTAATGTATCACGTCGTATTAAAATGTAATGTTCTTATCGCAACGTAGACAAATTAGTGCACAACATCATCATTGTGTTTGAGGTTTAAAATCGAAAGATGGTCCATCATGTTTCAATACAATCTTAATTATCCCATGGCTAGTTTGTTTCAAGGATTATTTATGGGTGGTACTAACAATTATATCCATTCCACTCCAACCCCATGGGATACTATGCCTAGTCTTAATTTTTTATCCCTTTCTTCCCTTTGTTTGTTTCCTACAAAAATTATTTTGTGATACCTACGTCAAAAGGTGTGTCAAATGAACTATTCAATGTAAAAAGACAATTATAACCTTATAGTCCAAAGCAATCCATGCCCTTGTTTGTTACTACAACCACCTGTGCATGATACTTACCCAAAAACTTTTTTTTTTTTTGTTGTTCCACGTTGGTTGCATGCACTGTTTAAGGCAAGTGTCTCCCAGGTATAACACACACACACACAACAAGCACCACACAACACACAATACACACAGATGAAAATATTATACACGCACAAAAATTCCAATAACAATGGAATACCACCAAAATTCCATCAATGATGGAGTTACAACAACAATTCCAGTGCAAGTAGTTAAGCGCCAGGGAAAAAAATGGAATTCCAGCAACAATTCCAACAAAATGGAGCTAAGAGCCAGCCAAAAAAATGGAATTCCAGCAATAATGGAGTTCCAGCAACAAATAAAACAAAATTCTAGCAAAATGGAGCTAAGAGTTAGCAAAAAAAAAAATTGGAATTCCAGCAAGTTTCCCCTAACAATTCTATCTACAATAGAATTCCAGAAGTAAAATTCCAGCACTATAGTTAAAGACTTCCTGCCTTAACAATCTAGACATAATTTATACCACACTACACACAACACTGTCATTCCCTTTAAATCAAAACAAAATGAATGCACAACATATCAACATATACACTGCATCAAAAGATTTCAACTGCCACTAAATATAAGATACCAGTGCAAGGAGCTAAGAGCCACAGAATAGCATTAACAACTGTCTCCACAAGCAATTTTACAATCATCCACCGTAAACTTTGTTACATACATAATATAAACAGGTCAATGGAATTCTCAAAAGATGAAACTCCCCAGGACTCTTGAACATCAACTACTACCACACACAGTCATACCCAAAAACCAAAATAGCATGTGGAAAGCATAGTGTACATACAATCATACTCTGACAGGGACTAAGCTTAATCAGAAATATCAATAATCTCTATGTCTTCTGCTGGATAACCACCCGAACAAGAGCCCACACTTTTAATCAGCTCTTCCGGGGACACGTTGTCGAAAACCTCCACCATTTTCTCGAACAAAGGACATGGATCAATGCAATGTGTTATTGCAAACTTATTTGCCTGCAAGTTAATGACAGTTAAACACATCATGAATTCAAGCGAATGTGAAAACTGAATTAAACAAAGAGGCATAAGATGATATTCATTAATATAGTTTTGAATTAAACACTTACCAGTAGGTAGTCACGCGCTCCAGCGAGCGGCCCTTCGACGACGCACAAGTTTACCGAGTCCCAAGCAAACATCCTCGTCTTCAACATAGCCTTGATAGTGAAGTATTTTTTCTTCCAGAAAAAACTAATCTTGACAAGGTCAATTTGATCAATGCAAATTGCGGGCAGTCTCCTTTTCACCCGCATTACCAAATCCTTGAAGTGTTGGGCTGTCATCATGCTGCCTCATTCAGGCACTATGCCTCGTTGTTTGTTTCGAAGCAACAACGCCATCAACACTTCACTTTCCGCAGCACTAATTCAAGGAACCGACATTTTCTACATAATATTGTGCAAACCAAATGCACAAACCATTGACACACCACCAATTTATACAAATTCATTCAACAATACAATCATATCATAACACCAAAATCAATTACAATAGATATCCATTCATAATGTTACCTATATTCATACATTCCCCAATTAATGTCAAAACATAGCAGGTAACATTACAAACAGTAACCATAAATATTGTCCAAAATAACCACACATAATACAAACATAGCTCAAGAAAGTCTACCCAGGAAAAAGTAAAAAATATGGGTTAGTACCATACCCAAAACAAACATCACCATACATGAGATAGTTACCGACATTACGGTTTCCATCGCCCTTGGCATCGCGCCCAACAACTATCGGGGCTGCTAGAGGAATGTCCATTGCATCTTCTACACAAATATTAGGCAGAGGTTGATTTTGATGGACATCCACTTCACATTCATGTTGGACATCTCTTACTACATCTTCATTCTCAATGTACGTGCGCAATGCGTTTTCAGCTTCATCGTACGAATCATAAGACTTGTACAACGCACTCGGGTGCCTATTCACTTGCACGACATTCATGCCATGTTGTATATACACCAACTTGTCTTCCAACAAACACGACGTAAAAACGTGTTCTCCGGTACATCACTTGTGTAACTAAACACATGTTAGTACATTTCTATGCAAGTGCATACCAATAAAAGGCAAGTGTTAATAAACATCACTTCATTATGCAAGTACATTTAAGTTGTTCAAACTTCATAAGAAATAACACCCAAACATACTAAACCATATTTTATATACGGACATAGGTGAACAAGCAAAAAAAGTGGACCACTTTCACCTATATCACGTCAAAAAAACAAAATACCATACTTAACCCTACACATGTTGGTAGCTCGATCCGTACAACAACTTCCTTACCCAAGACGACTTTGATGCGTCAGACAAGCTAAAGAACAAGTCCACCTTAACCAGATCAGAGGCAATTCTGTAACCAGCCTCATATAGTAGATCCTCATCAAGCCACCCAATTTTCTCAAGCTCAACAACGATTCTTCTTCTCGATTTAGAAACATCTTGGCATGGCCTACCCTATGTGCAATATTATCAAGCTTACGACCACAAGTAGCAACATACTCACCTAAGACCCTTGTCATATCACCCAAGCTACATGCAATGACCTCGGCAGCTGTCGAAACCTTTCTCTTTTTCGTCTTTTTGGTAGTTGGGGTGTCTGTGGAAACATCCATGCTTTGAGTTGTACTATGACTTGCACCATTTGTCTCATTTTCATTGTTAATTCCTGTCGGGTAAATTTCATGCTCTGCTTCCTCGTTGTCATTCCCTCCAATCATTTCATCAAGATCCTTTGCAAATTCGCCTGTTGCACGATCCTCGCCAAAAATAATTCCCCAGTCTTTATAGTATGGCCAACATTTTTCACGCATCCCCTTAGCCTGCTTATCCTTCTACAACAACCATACCATGAAAGAACATGCCTCAAATAAGTGGAATACTAAAAATAACAAAACAACTCTATTAATTATAAAGTGCTATATTAAAAAAAATACATTTAAATACTCATCCCAAACATCATCCAAATCAACCTCAATTTTGTTATCAGTGTCATTAAACCCAAAATCACTCGTGTTCATCATAGAAAATATACAATTATATTGCCTCTTCCACATTTTTATCTTTGACTCAATGTGTGGTTGTGCACGAAGTGTACTGCTGCCAATTCTTTGTTCTAGCATTTGCAAATAACTTGGCCTGAATGTATCATTAGGACACTTCAACCTTGCTGTACATAGATCCTTCAGTGCGTCTAATAGTTGTGTCTCTTCCATACTTGTCCATGTTCGCCTGGTACTTTTTTCCACTTGCGACCACTCATGTAATGCGAGCTGCCAACACTAACCATATCCTATGTATGTGTGTGTGTGTATATATATATATATATATCAGTCTCAAGTGAATATTGGAAAGTTAAATCAATTACAATACGGCAAATATCAAATATATTGCATTGTAACACCACCAAATAAATTGTATTACATAACAGTCAGGACAACCATTAATCAAACCACACGAAGTATCAATAACACATTACAAACATATAAGTCATTTAATCTACTAATTAAAAGTCGCAAAATAACCACCTCCCCTCCCCCCCCAAATTCATCTACCTATCCGCCATGCCTCGTACATTTCATTCGCCAACTGAGTCCTCCAAGCAGTCCACGCAGTAGAGGTCTCAACACTATCAACTACATTGGTGTTGTCATCGTCCTCATTAAGAACATACTCGGGTACGTGGTCTTCCAATGGGTCAACTGGCATCTCATTTCTAATGAAATTATGTAACAGACAACAAACAACAATAATTCTATTATGTTTGGGAACTGGGTAAAAACAGGCAGTTCGAATAATTGCCCATCGCATCTTGAGGAGAGCAAAACACCTCTCAATAACGTTCCTAGCAGATGAATGTTTTAGGTTAAAATATTCCTCGACATTACGAGGAGCTTCCCTTCCATTTCCAAATTTGTCAAGATGGTATCGTTAACCCCTAAAAGGAGCTAACAAACCCTCACCATTGGTGTAACCAGCATCACATAAATAATATGCGTCTGTCGTAATTATGTATATACTCATTAGTAAATAATTTCTAAAAAAATAAAAACTAATGCTAAATATTTTCACTATAACTTACCCCGTTGAACACGTAACCCAGTACGTCTTGTAACTTCATCCCAAAGGACTCTTGAATCTGTCGCTGATCCCTCCCAACCAGGCAAAACATAAATGATTTTCATGTCAGGTGCACAAACACCTAACACATTTATTGCAATTTGCCCCTTCCTTGTCCTATACCTTGCTTGGTACACAAGTGACACTTTTGCTCTAATGTGAGTGTCTTCTAAAGCCCCAACACAGTTCTATGCAATAGGAAATAAACATATTATCAATTGATTTTCGTTAAGTACATACTACGTGACGTGACGTGACAACTTAAATGTAGATCTACTTTAAAAAAACTTAGAATACCTTAAAAAACTTCCACTTAGGGTCAGTGCATTCATCTGTGATTGGATCAGGGACTGCAAGCAGTAATCGACGTAGCCTAAGAACCGCCAACAACACTGCATTGAAATACTTGCTAACCGTGTTACCAAATCTAATGAAACTGAATTTGATTGGTCTATTCTTATGATCATGACTAATAACGCTCAAGAACATAGCTACCATCTCTTCAATGCTAACATTCCTTGTATGACTAAGCCCATCAACATGTTTAACTAGTGTGCACAATATAGAAAAACATCGTCGGTCCATCCTAAGTTGATTGTAGCATGTTATATCACTTATACCTATCAATCTATTAGAATGCTCTATTTGCAGTCGGGTTCGCGTGACTGAGCTTGGGATCCTATTGTTGTTTTGAATGTCATGAAATTCTAACAAATTTGCAATCACAGCAATCAGACATGAGCATATCATAACCATATCAGAGAGGACACTATCCAAAATAACCACCAATGGCACACTGAGATCATTGTCTTCATCCATAACTACTGTCACTAACACAAATTACAGTAAACATCCACAGCTAACAAGCAGCGTTTGTTATGAAGCGCTTTAAATTACCAAAAAAAAACATATTAAAGTAACAAGCATGCATTAGATATCATCACAACAAAGAATACATTTTTTTTTGTTCAATATAAAAAAATCATAAAAGTTAATGACTGAAAATAAAATTGCTACAGTGGCTACAGAGATCCCGGCGTTCATTGAACAATGAAAAGGCCACATCAAGCCAAACCTAAGAGTTGCATTAAAAAAAAAAGATTGGTCATATGATACATTGTTTTCTTTGTTTGAAAGAGAATGCTCTGCAACATATTCCATATGTTTTCCAAAAGTTAAGATTCCTCATTGCACAATGTGTAAGTCAAGAAAAAACCAAACTAAAAAGTACCGAACTGAATTTTAAAAGAGCCCATGCCCAACATAGGCAACCAAATTCCGATCTCAACCACCACGCCAAAAAAAAAATCAAAAATAAGTTTCTATCAAAACCCAGCCTTCCCTAAATTAAGAATTTCAAAGCTTTGGCTTGTTCATGTTCATTGAACCATTTCTTTAATGGACAGAATTCAACCCCCACTTTAAAACAACCTACATCATATTTAGTTTCCAAGGCTTCAAGAACTAAAAAAATACCGAACCAAAGGTAGTACAATGAATAAATAAAGTCTTCACCAGAAAAATCTCTGCTTACAAACAATGTTGTCACAGCTTGGATGACACAAGAAAATATAAGGGTTATAATAAACTTACTGAAGGCGGAATTTGAGAAAGGTAGATTATGACAATGCAATGAATATGGTCCAAGAAACCAGTGAGCAAGAGTGGCCAGGGAGACGACTAAGCGTTGAGGGAGGCGACTGAACATTGAGTGAACGAGTGGCTAGGGTTCGGTAGAAAGTTGGCTTTTATATGGGGCCCAATACATGAGAGCATTTGTGTCATTTCACTAGCTTATACTGTCCTTTCACTTGTACCGGACATATAATACAACCGGGTAGGTGGTATTCATTAATACCATGTACAAGATATTACGCCTACTGTTCATACCGGTAGTACTACCTATAAAATACAAAACAAACAGGGTATTAAGTGGGACCCACGTATTATTTCCCTAATACTACCTCCTTATACCACCCTTATCCTTAAAACAAATTAGCCCCCAAAGTATATAATATGTGATAACTAGTTATAATTAGTATCTGAAAATACGATGTAACATAAAATTTAAGTGTATATCATTTTTTCCCTTCTCTTTCTTTAATAACATAATTTAAAATGAATTTTTAGCAATTATTTAAAAAAAACTAACAATTTTCTCAAAATATATGACCTAAAAAAATATATTATGTATAATTTATAATGTAAAACAGGGCAGCCTTCAATAATTCCATCTGATGGTCTCAAATAGACTCTTCTAACAGCCACCAACATCTCTCTTAAATTTTCACTGTGTCTTTAAGCACGGGTATCTTATATGAAAAATGTCTAAAATCAAAATTGTATTGAACTATAAATTAATCAAAAAAATAATAATTTAACTTGTGATAGAAATAGAGGATAAAATAGATGGGGATAAAATTCAAATGCCCACCTTTGTTATTGCATAGATATTACTTCAGATGCTAAGCTATTTTTTTTTTAACAGAACTAAGTTATGTATTTGAAAGACGGCTTTTTTAGTAGTTACTATACATATTGATTATCGCGTAGTTCGATTTATCTCATTCTCAGTCCGATCAAAGGCATCATGCTAGGATAGATAAATCATAAATCCCTCATGAGCTAACCTCAATAAGTTGTCAAAATTCAAACTTAGAATATTTGAATTTCTGATTCGTCCTTAACTTGAGTTATAAACTTCTCTTCGATTTTGAAAAGGCATTGTTTAACATTTTCGAATAAATCTCCAATTTCTATTGAGCTGGTCCTGCGTACCTGAAGTGCAATTGTGCGAGATCTCCATAAACAAGCAGCAATAGCATCAAACTTGGAGCATGATTGAATGTTTAGAAAAAGAAGTTCCCGAATGGCCTTCATCTCTCTAGGGCCAAAGAGGAAAGATTTATAAACCAGTTTGTCATCGTCGTCGTCGATGGTTGGTAGTGAAGTGATGTTGCCCTCCTATTGTAGAATATAGTGTGGTGAAAACAATTTCAAGTAGTAGAAAAGCAAAGAGAAAAACGAAGAAGATAGGTCGCTAGGCAAAGCATGACACTCGCTATCTTCGAGATAGTAATTTTTTCACTTATAATGTAGATGAACTCTTGAAAATTCTACCCTCAGGATATAATGTATAACTTTAAGATTATCAAAGACTACACTCCTTTGTAATCTTGGAATCAAAACTCAACTCGAATAGAAAATCAAAAAATATAGAAGCTTTGAATTAAGAAGAAGAAGAAGAAGGATTAAAATCTTAGTCCTTTGTTCTTGCATTTGAATCCTATTTATAGTGTTCTATGTGTGTATTCCTTTAAAACCATGACAGAAGACACCCACCCCTTAAAAGGGTTGCAATAATATAGCCGTTAGAGACTACTTTTTAACATAAAACCTGTCACGTTCAAACGAGGTTTCCATGTTCGAACGTCCTCAACTCTCAGTATCTCGATTCTGAGATTTCTGCCAAGTACTGGAAACAAGTCACTTTCAAACGTGGGTTACGTTTGAACGAACTGAAGTCCCAGTATATCAGTTTCTGTCAGAAACTGAGATTCTAAAAAAATACTTGTAGCGAAGCACGTTCGAATGTCGCCTCTCTCCTTTTATTTCTTTCTTCCTAGATACTGAGAGTTGAGGACGTTCGAACGTGGGAACCTCGTTCGAACGTGACAAGTTTTCTGTTCAAAAGTAGTCTCTTACGACTATATTATTACAGGCCTTTCAAGGGGTGCCTTCTGCCATGGTTTTGAAGGGATACACTCTTTCATGAAGAGTTGCATAAAACACTATAAATGGGATTCAAGTGCAAGAACAAAGGACTAAGATTTTAATCCTTCTTCTTCTTCTTCTTCTTGATTCAAAGCTTTAATATTTTCTGATTTTCTATTCGGGTTAAGTTTTGATTCCAAGATTACAGAGGAGTGTAGTCTTTGATAATCTTAAGGTTAAGCATTGTATCCTGGGGGGTAGAATTTTCAAGAGTCCATCTGCATTATAAGTGAAAAAATTACTATCTCGAATAAAGTGAGTGTCGCGCCTTGCCTAGCGACCTATCTTCTTTGTTTTTCTCTTTATTTTTCTACTACTTGAAATTTTTTTACCACACTATATTCTACAACAATTTCGAGAGAGTAAATATTTCTACAAGGATTTTGTGGTGGTGAAATCTCATCTTCATGAAGTGGAAAGGTTTGAAAGGTTCAATGGGCTCAATTACAAACGTTGGAGTATGAAGATATTTTATCAAATGATCATTGCAAAGGTTGTTTATGTGTTATCCGTGCCATATCCTCAAGGAGAACTATCCAATGGGCAATTTTCAAATGTTACAGTTTTTAGTGGTGATGGAACTTTTAACAATCAAGGATCATCCAACAACGAACAAATCGAGAAACAAAAGAAATGGATGGAGGATGACTATGTTTGTCGTTTCATAATTCTTAATGCAATGACAAATGTTTTGTTCAACGTGTTTCACAAATATTCTACGGCATGCGAACTATGGTATGCGATACAACTAAGGTATATGAATGAAGATGCCGGTAATAGGTCTTTTTCTTATAAACAAGTATGTTGATTTTAAAATGAATGATTCAAAATCTGTCATAGAACAAGTGAATGCTCTCAATGAGATTGCAACTAGGGTTCAAAGTATCGGCCGAGTCCGATACGACTCGACCATTGACGATACGATAACGATACACAAATCGAAAGATTGACGAATTTAACTTGTATCAGCAATATCTCGACGATATATCGGACGTCTCGGCCGAAATTAAAGGTGTCGGTGAAAACTCGGTTCAACTCGGGTGACTTGACTCGGAATCCTTCCGAGTCGAACACGACAGTAGAAAAATCCCCAAATCTGACCCACACCTCTGCAAGAGCTTATCAACACTCCTTCATTTTTCTGAAAAATGAACAAAAATCCAAAAAAAAAAAAAAAGGGGATGGGAAATAAAGCAGACCTACTACCAGACTACCCGTTGAAAGACTCGACACCCATGTGAAAATTACAGAAATCACATGAATCCTAAGGCAGCAAACCCTTATAAAAAACCAAGATTACTACCATACCTGTAAATCGAACCCTGAAGCATCTTCTTCATCTGGTCTTGTGTGTTAATCTTGTTCGATTCTTTGTTATTCTTGTTCAACTCTTTGTTGAAAGGATCTTCTTCGATTCTTTGTTGAGACGATTTTCTTCGGTCTATATCGGCGAGGAACTGCACTGTGCATCTCTCTGTTTGCACTCTGTTACCGTGCGACTCTGGGAAGTGAGAAAGATGAAGAACGTAAAATAGGTAGAAAAAAAATTGATTTTTTTTAAGGAATGTTTATATATTTATATTTGCCTTAAAAGTAACATAAAAATACTAGCTCAATTGGGTGGTGTTGCAAATTGAGCTACAAGGTCCCTGGTTCGATTCCACGAATGCTCCAACGTGTAGTCTAGTTTTTTTTTTTTACTAAGTGTTTATATATTTATATTTGTCTTAACATAACATAAACATAGTAGCTCAATTAGGTGGACTTGCACATTGTAATGTTGTAGGTTATTGGTTCGACTCCTCCAAGACCCCAACATATCGTTGCCTTTTTTTTTTTTTTTGACCGAATATTTATATATTTATATTTACTTTAAAAATAACATTAAAATAGTAGCTCAATTAGGTGGTGTTGCAAATCGAGTTGTTGCAAAGTCCCTGGTTCGATTCCACGAATGCTCCAACATGTAGTCTACTTTTTTTTTTTTACTAAGTGTTTATATATTTATATTTGTCTTAACATAATATAAACGTAGTAGCCCAATTCGGTGGACTTGCACACTATAATGTTGTAGGTCACTAGTTCGACTCCTCCAAAACCCCAACACACGCCCTTTTTTTTTTTTACTGAATATTTATATATTCATATTTGCCTTAAAAATAACATAAAAGTAGTAGCTCAATTTGGTGGTGTTGCAAATTGAGTTGTTGTAAAGTCACTAGTTTGACTCCTCCAGTGCTCCAACATGTAGGTTGTTTTTTTTTTTTTTTAACTAAGTGTTTATATATTTATATTTACCTTAAAAGTAATATAAAAGTAGTAGCTCAATTGGGTGATGCAAATTGTCATGTGCAAGACAGTAGTTCGACTCCTCCAAGATGAACATGCTTTTTTACATTATTGTCATAGTTAAATTTCTTATTTATTGCATAAATATTAAAATTATCGTATTTTAATGATCCAAAAAATTATAACTTTAATGTAATAATTAGATACATCAATATTTTATAATAATAAATGAGTGGATATAAGTTCCTTTTTTTATTTATAAAAAATATATGCTCTATTTCAAATTATATAAAATTAAATGTTACAATTATATTTTTTTTATATTTAAACTATTTCAATCAATTGCATGTTACTTATTTAATTATTTGAAATTTGTGACATCGTAGAATGACTCATAAAAAACACGACATTGGTTGGGAATACGCAACACCTGTTGGTAGTGATCGACGAATTACAAAGTGCAATTATTGTGGTAAAATAGTTCATGGTGACATTACTCAAATGAAGCAGCATATTGCACATGTATCCGGCCAGGTGGAAGGATGTCCACGTATACCAAAAGAAGTGTCACAATTCTTGAGACATCTTACTGATTGTAGTAAAGAAAGGGCTTCTATAAAAAAGAAAAAAGAACGAATTATGCAATCATTACGAGATGAAGATTGTTACAACCTAGATGAAGATGATGATTAGAATCAAATTGAAGAGTGTGATTTTGAAAGAAGACAGTTAAAGCATGCAATGAAAGAAAGCTGTCAAATGGCTTAGATGGAGGAAGTGGGTCGTAGGCACTCTGTATCAAATGCAAGCGGTCGATCATCACAACCATCAAGTTTAGGAATCAAGCGCGGACCACCACGTAGCTATAGCGTAAAAGAAGGTGCAAGCATGCCTGTAAGTGGTCTTGATCCGTACATGTTCCCGTCGAAACAAAAGTCAGTAAAAGGCATGTTCTCAGATGCGAACCTGGAAAAAGTGAAAAAAGCTATTTCGAAGTTCTTCCTCTTCGATGCCATACCATTCAATGTAACTGATAGTGGGCCTTACTATCAATCAATCATTGACACTATTGCGGATGCATGCCCAGGAATAAAGGATTCCACAAGATATCAAATTGGTAGTTTTTATTTGGAGGAGGAGGTTCAAGAGCTTGATGTGTATATATCTTCGATGAAGGTAAAATGACCTCAGTATGGTTGCACAATCATGTCTAATGGGTGGAGTTCTAGAACAAAGAAACTCATTATCAATTTCATGATTTATTGTGACCGTAATATGATTTACTATACATCAGTTGATACCACAAAATATTTTAAAAACTGCTGACTATATTTTCTCTCTTATGGATAAAGTTGTTGATGAAATTGAAGTAGAAAATGTAGTATATGTAGTAACCGACAATGAGGCAAGCTTTAAAGCAGCTGGTAAGATGTTGATGGATAAAAGAAAACATCTATTTTGGTCTCCTTGTGCAGCTCATTGTATTGATTTGATGCTAAAAGATATTGGTCATATGAAGCAATCAAGGAGACCATATATGATGCTAAGACGATCACATCTTTTATCTACAACAATCTCAAAGTGGTCAACTTAATGAAGCAACATACCAGAGATAGAGATTTATTGAGGCCAGGTATAACATGATTTGCCACTAAATTTATCGCCATTGAAAGTCTTATTCGTTATGAATCGGACTTGAAAAGAATGTGCACCACCGATGAATGACGTGAATTCAACAAAGACAAGAAGAGGAGAAAAACAAGAGATATAGTCTCAAACCTTATTTTGACTAACCAACTTTGGAAGAAGGCTAGAGAAGTTCAATCTATCATGGAGCCTCTTGTTAGGGTCTTAAAAATAGTTGATCAAGACAAAAAACCAACTTTATCAATTATCTATGAGGCAATGGACAGGGCTAAACTAGCCATACAACATTCAGTCAAAAATTGGAAGAAATACTGGGCCGTGATTGACAAAAGATGGGAGATCCAATTGCACAGACACTTGCATGCAGAAGGTAAAAGTATCTAAAAATATAAAATTTTCGTTGTGTATTAGCTTGTAAAATATTATAGTTTTCCACTAACTTACATTAAATTGTCAAAAACTTTACAGCTTATTTCTTAAATCCAATTTTTTAGTATTCTAATCAATTTTCCAACCATCCCGAGGTAAGATTTGGTTTGAAAGAGGTTATTAAAAGATTGGAACCAGATTTGAATAAACAAGCAAGGGCAATGAACGAGGTATGACGATTTTTGATAATTTTTTATTATAATATGTGTATATATTTGTCGCTTACGTAATACATTACACAATAAATTGCAGATCAAATTATATACTGACAAACATGGCGAGTTTGGGAATGCACTCACTAGGAAAGCTGTACATGCCTCGCTTCCAGGTTTATTATTTAAACTATATGTATTTAGTAAAATATCATTTGTTACTCTTATGGACAATAGTAATATTGTACATTTTTTTTTGTAGCTGAATGGTGGATCAATTATGGTGAAGAAGCTCCCCATCTGCAAAAAATTACAGTCAAAGTTTTAAGTCAAACATGTTCATCATTAGGGTGTGAAAGAAATTGGAGTACATGGTCGCTGATCCATACTAAACTTCGCAACCGATTGGCAATGAAAAAGCTACATAAGCTAGTTTTTGTGCAGCACAATATGCGGTTGCGAGTTAAAAATTTGACATATCCGCGTGAAAATGATGATTTTTATAATCCAATTGATCTGAACTACATTTTTAATAATGATGATATATTAGATGAGTGGATAAGAGAAGGGGAGGAATCAATTTTACCACCTGATAACTTAGGTTGGCTAGATGAAGGTATTCGTGACATTGAAGAAGATGGAAGTGGACGAGATGTAGTTGATGAAGGCGACACTAATACGGCACCAACATCTAGCAATTATGCCACTATCAGAAGATTTGAAAAAGATACGAGGCCAACCAATAAGGGTAAAAAGACTATGAGAATTTTTGTCAGTTCTAGTGATTCTTCTTCTGATGATGATAATGATAATAATGTTGCTGATACTTATGGTGGTGGTGGTGGTGGTGATGGTGATAGTAGTAGTACTGATGATGATGATGCTAGTAATCATGGTGGAGATAATGATGAGAGCAACAAGAGTGGTTGTGGAAGGACTACTAGAGATGGCGATGATACTCAGCTACCTGGCGGTATGTCATGGGCACAGGGGCAAGACAATTACTATGCCACACAGGATACAGACCAGGGGCAATGAAACAACAAAGGAATTTAAACTCTTCCATTGGTGATGATTATTCCCACAGACGCTACCATCATTCACTTGGTCGACAAGATATTGATGATCATATGCAGAGTTTGGGATTGACATCATATGAAGGATACATGTCTTACGGACATCATCAAAGTAGTGGTATAGAATCTAACTATGCACATGGATTATATGGATATGGTATCCCTTCGCAGCTTCCGAGGTCTACTAGTACTAATAGTGCTGGGCATTATGGCCATCGCCCTACGCATCTTGAGAGATCTACTAGTACTAGTACTGGTGATTACTATGATCGTGTTCCAAGGAGACATCATGATAGATCTCCTAACACGACATCAGATAGTGTCAACTTTTATGGATATGATCAGTCTTTTGCTAGTAGTGACCGTAAATATCGTGATTTTGGGTATTATCAGTATGGGAACCAGACAACACAACCTCCACAGTCACATTACTCTGATTATGGGTCATCTAGTCAATTAAGTCAACCAACCCAATCAGACCCGTATTCACACTTGTACTCTTATTCTTATGGTGGACAGTACCCTAATTTGTATTATCTTAGAGACAATAACGACAATTTTAAGCCTCATCATCGTTCAATGTGGCAATGATTATGGCTCAATATGTTCCTAAATGTCTACATTGAACATTGATAATGATAATTATTTTCGCTCGCGATTTTATGTTTTATTTTAATTATTTTTAATGTGTTTTTAGATGTATTTGTGGATATATGATGCATAAATGATAATGTCTATTTTTTTATATTTTTTTAAATTTTTTTGGAGCTTCTATCTTGCATTTTGAACGTATCGGTCGATACCGCATAGCGACACCGTGACCGATGTGTATCAGCACCCTCCGAGTTGATGGCCAATACTGCGACTTTGAACCATGATTGCAACTGAATGTGCTGATTCCGGGGAACCAATTTCTAAGACTTTTCAAATTTCTACAATTATTGGTAAACTTCCACCTTCGTGGAACGATTACCAAAGGATTTTAAAACATAAAAAAAAGTCTTTGAAATTGGATGAACTATTTCAACCCATTCAGATTGAAAATAAAGCATGGTTGAGAGAAAATGTTGCAAATCAAGGAAAGACGGAAAAAATACATAATGTTGAAGGGCTAGATACAAACTCTACGAAACTAATCAACAAGTCTCATAACGGGAAGAAGAATTTTTCCAACTCCAGGAGGAAAAGAGGAAACTTAAATAAATAGAAATTTCCTAACAAGAAGAAGAAAGGTACTTGTTTCCTATATGGAAAATTGGGACATTTTGGTAAGAAATGTCGTCACCGAAAAGGCTACAAAAAGAAAGAAACCAATTTGGTGAAAAACAGCGAAGACATGGTAACAATGCTTACCGAGATTCTTATGGTAAGTAATGATGAAGGTTGATGGGTTGATTTGAGTGCAACCTGTCATGTGACTCCTAGCAAGAGTGTCTTCAAGACTTATGAGGCTATTATTGACGAGAAAGTCGTGTTCATGGGGAACTCCTCTACAAGTGCTATCATGGGAAAAAGAACTGTGCAACTTCCTCTTACTTCTGGAAAAGTGCTTACTCTCAAGGATGTTCATCACATTCCGGGATTGAGAAAGAGTATTATCTCCGTTAAGAAGCTTGATGATCATGGTTTTAGATTTGTATTTGATTCCCAAAAAGTGATCATTTCAAAGAAAGGTTCATTTGTTGGGAAAGGTTATGTCAAAGACAATATGTATTTGCTTAGTATGAATAAAGAAGTTTCTATTTCTGCTTATATTGTTGATTCACATGATAATGATGTCTGACATTATAGGTTAGGACACATTGGTAGTATTATTATGAATCGCATGATTTCACATAATTTGTGCCTACTAATAGTCGTATCCTAACTACTCAAAATTGTGAATGTTGTGCTCAAGCAAAAATTGTTAAACATTCATTTAAAATTGTCTCTAGATCTACTAAGTTGTTAGAATTAATTCATACCAACATATGTGATAATAAAGATCTTTTTGACTAGAGGAGGAAAATGATATTTTATAACTTTTATTGACGACTATTCTAAGTATACTGATGTATATATGATTAAAACAAAAGATGAGGCTTTTGAAAAGTTTAAAATATTCAAAGAAGAAGTTGAAAACAATCTTGGAAAAATAATTCAAAGGATTAGATCCGTTAGGGGTGGTGAATATCGACTAAATTAGTACATTAAATTCTGTGAAATGCATGGAATAGTTAGAGAAGAGTCAGCCCCTAATTCTCCCCCTCAAAATGGTGTGGCCGAACGGAAAAATAGGACTTTATTAGAAATGGTTAGTGCTATGCTATTACAATCTAATTTGCCTACTAGTTTTTGGGGTAAAGCCTTATATACTGCTTGTCATTTAACTAATAGAATCTTGCACAAGAATCAAGATAAAACTCCTTATGAGTTATGAAAAAATCGAAGGCCTAACATTAATTATTTTAAGATTTGGGGTTGTATAGCCCATGTGTTAGATGAAACACAAAAGAGACTTAAGTTAGGAAGTAAAGTCACAAAGTCTATATTTGTTGGTTATGCTATGCATAGTAAAGTATCTAGATTTTTAAACTTAAGTACTAATAGTGTTTTTGAATCTACTCATGCCATTTATTTTGAACACTTGATTATTAAAGATGCAAATAGACATGAATTAGAGAAAGACTTAATGATTGACTTTGATAAATTTGATATCTCTCAAAATAATGAAGAGAATTCTCATGATATAGTTAGTAGAGATAATACTAATAGAGAAGTAATAGTTCAACCAAGTGAATTGAAAAGGAGTAAAAGACGGAAGATTGAAAAGGATTTAGGACCCGGTATGTTCACATATTCTTTAGAAGAAGATCCTAAAACTTTTAGTAAAGTCATGTCCCTACCCGATGCCGATTTATGAAAAAAGGCTATGGATGGTGAAATTAAATCCATTCATGATAATAACACGTGGACATTTGACTGATCTTCCTCCTAATACTAAACCTATAGGATGTAAATGGGTTTTAAGAAAAAAACTTAAAACTGATGGAAGTATAGAAAAGTATAAAGCAATATTAGTTGCTAAAGGGTTTAGTCAAAAAAAAAGGTATAGATTATTTTGGGACCTTTTTCGGTGATTAAAATAACATCTATAAGAATAATGTTTGCAATTGCTTCTATTTATAATTTAGAAGTACATCAAATGTATGTTAAGACTGCTTTTCTTAATGGTACTTTAGATGAAGAGATTTACATAAATCAACCTGAAGGTTATGTAGTTGAAGGAAAAGAAGGGAAGACATGTAAATTAAATAAATCCTTATATGGTCTTAACCAAGCACCAAGACAATTGAATGAAAATTTTAAGAAAAGAGATAAAGAATTTTGGATTTAAAATCTCAAAAGTAGAAAGTTGTGTGTTCTATAAGACTACAAATGATTATAAAGTTTTGGTGACCCTATATGTTGATAATTTATTGAAATTTGGTTCTAACTTATATTGTGTTAATGAAACTAAAAAGTTTTTAGCACAAATGTTTGACATTAAAGATAAGGGACCTGTGGATACCATTTTAGGGATTAAGGTAATAAAGAATAATGGCGATTTGATCTTAACTTAGTCACACTATATAGAGAAAATATTAAGGAAATTCAATCATTTTGATTGTAAGACTAGTCAAACGCCTTTAAATCTTAATTGTAAACTTGTACCCAATGAAGGGGTATCAATAAATCAAGAAGAGTATGCTAAAATCATTGAAAATTTGATGTAAGCCATGAATAATACAAGACCTGATATTGCTTGTGCTATAGGGATATTGAGTAGATTTACTAGTAATCC